AAATTCTCACGTTGTAACGGTTAAGGATAGCCGTATAAATCCTTGGGTAAAGGTTCAAGGATAGCCTTTGAAATCCTTGGGGGAACGGTAGAAGATAGCCGTTAAATCTTCATTGTAAACGGTTCGAGATAGCCGTTGTGAAATCTCGGAGTGAATCCTATTGGCAAGGGTTGTTTGCCAAAACTAGTGCGGTGCTTTGACGGAGTTCAAGAGGCCGAGACTTAGTGGATTCGGAAATCCTTGAGGAGGAGCCTCGAGGTACTGGAGTAGGGGTTTCCCGAACCAGTATAAATTCGGTGTGCATTTTATTTACGCTTTTATTTTTCCATTTTATTTATTGCTTCCGCATTTGCCAACACCGTTTTTATTAAACTCCGAAAAGTTTTTTAAACGCCTTATTCACCCCCCCTCTAAGGCGTGGGCACAACGACGAAACCGACTAACAATCACCATATGATACCCCGTCTAAAAACTTTGGATATTCTCCATGCCAAGATTCTGATGGGGATAATTATTATGAACCTCATGGTGATCACGATGACTATGACCACAACGGGCCTATATACGACGATCAACCTGATCCTCTTGTCGAAGAAATAATAAGATTGGAACAGAAGATCTTCTATTTCGACGAGGTTTTATTCGCTGAAGGCTCGTGGTACGAACCACCTTACTCCCGTGACTACACCTTGTTTGCTGAAGAACAAATTGAAGCAAACAAGGTGGCAATTCGAGAAAGAGCAAAACTTCTTGAATCAGTCCGGAAGGAGAAGGTGTTCGAAAGGAGATTATGTGAAGGATCAGAAATGATGCAGAAAATGCTGGACGACTTTCAAAGAGAGAGACTAGAAGCTGAGGATAAAGCTGATAAATTAGTCAATGATGTCCACAAGGCTATTGAGCTTAAACGCTCCCTCCAACCTCAAGATCCACAATTGGAGGAAGTTAATGCTCAAAAAGAGGCTTTAGAACCTAAGACCAACCCTGAACCATCCAACCATCAAGTTCCAGTTCTATAAGATTCACCAAGTTCTACACCATCACAGAAACCCGAGGGCATATCAACTCTTGCTGGGGCTACTGTGGTGATGTTATCCGAATACCCTCTAAGCCAAGTCCCAACCGGCACAGTCGTACAAGAGGTGGAACCAACTGAGGGACCTGACTCAGAACCACCTAGCCTTATTCAAGAAAAGAAGGAGCAGGAAGTTTTGCCTATGGCAATAAACGACCATCTCATTAATTGTGTTGAAGACACGCCTCCAGAGGAATCTGTTCTGGAGGAAATAGAGCCCATTACCTGCCCCCAAGATACCAATGTCCAAGAGTCCAAGTAGGAATCTACAGGTGAGGAAATACTTTGCATAGAAAAGCCAACTCCGTCTATAGAAACCTGTGTACGTAATGCTTCATCTGAAGACTCAGATCAAACCTTCTTTGACTCCCTACTTGACGGGTGTGACGATGTCTGCCCGAAGGATGGTTGGAGCTTAAGGAGTTGGGATGAACTTCTAATGAGTGACACTGAAGACTCATCCATGGGGGAAGGCACGGTCATAATCATCAAACCACAAACAGATAGTCAGCTCGTTGAAGACAATGAAGAAATCAATCTCGCTATGAAGGCCAATGATGTGGATCAACTAAGGAGACTTCCGCCCCCACCCACATATACAAAGTCTCCTCCATATATCCTGTTGCCACCAAGCCGCAGGGATGAGTCAAGGATCCTGGACCTTGACCAAGCAAAATATCAAACAAGGTGGCACCAGAAGGGAGTCAGAAGGGCCAAACTTTATGACTCTCGGATCGGGAAGTCGCGGAAAAAGTGGGTGAGCATCGAGCTACGGACGTTAAAGAAACGCTTAACGGGAGGCAACCCGTCATTCAGATAATTAATTATTAAATATGCTTACTTATTATTTACTTGCCGCACCATTTGAGGGCAAGATTTTACTTGTTTTACTTTTCTATTTCAAACAGATGGATGTTGCTTGGATGATCCCGCATGGAAACCGCCGCACATTACAGAATCTGGAAGAGCTCCCCTTGCACTCAGAAGAAGCAAGGAAGAAGTTTCTCACTTGGGGAAACACGAAGATGCTCCAGCCTCCCATGGTGTTAGACCCTGCCTATCTGGATGAACTGGGGCACTGGCAGGACATTGATGAATTGCTGTACGACCCAAAATGGAGGATCTTGCTATTCCTGCATGCTCTAGCCAGCCTGGAAGTCACCATTGAGTTTCTTTGCTCTCTCCGCTTCCTCAATGACGGAGAGGAAGTAAAGTCAGCAGTTGAAGTCACCTCCACCACCAAGGTCATGTTCACTCTAATGGGACGACTGCTGAACCTTACCGTGGCAGACTTAGGGTGGCTGATTGATCTTTACACGCTTGATGAAACGCGGAGCCTAGCCTTCACTAATCTGCCCGACCAGTTGGATCCAGAATTCGATGCTAGAAAGTTCTGGCAAGCTCATGGGCATGGTCGATTCCACAGTGGAGTAAGCTTAGCTAGGAATTGGGCACGACCGTCTTGGAGGATTTTGCACCATGCATTGGCTCTTAGTTATTTCGGCCGCTCTCAAGAACCTGATGTTGTGTTTAATTCCGATATGCTATTTTTCTGGAGTCTGGAAGCTCAGGTTCCAGTCAATCTAGCGACTTTTGTGGCTCGATTCCTATTTGCTCAGTCAACTTGCAACCACCAGTTTGTCTTGTGTGGGCCAATGGTTACGCTTCTGGCCCGAGGATTATGTATGTCCGTTCCCAATGTTCTTCCAGAAGCTGCAAGCATGTTCCGACCACCGACACAGTATTTGGCCCAGATTGTTTATAATAAGGAAGACAAGGAGGCACGTCCTAGAAGGCAGCATACGATTCCTATGACCCTTCGCGAGCTTTCGCAAGCTATGTTTGCATTTCAAGACTCTGTAGACTCTCGCTAAACAAAGCAAACGTCAAGGATAGTGAGATCCTTAATTTTCCTATTACTACATTCAGAACATTAATTTTGGATATTTATATGATCTTACGTTAGAATTCTTCTTTTCATGACTCTTAAGACCATTTTGAGAATATTTTATGCATTATTTCATATTTTCATGTTATGATTATCTATTGTTTCAATCTTCATCATTGAATCTTGTAAGTATTTAGATAACTTAGTAATTGCATGTGAGCATTTCAACCATTAACTCCAATTCCAAAATACTTTTAGCCACGAGGGCGTGGTTCCGTTTAAGTGTGAGGAGGTAAGAGTTCCTGGTTGAAATGATCTTTTTAGGAATTATTTTGTCTATATATTTGTAGGAAAAGATTTTTTATAATTGTCATCAATTTTAATTGTTTGATTAATTACTCTTTAGTTATCACCCGTGGAAATTAGAAATTTTTAAAATTTTTGTCAAACTTCTCTTTTTACTCTAGCCTTTTGGGAATGTTTTCTAAAATGATTTGGGACAGATTCACAATTGTCTAAGAGTTTTAAAGATCAATCAATTTTAAGTGCTGTATTGAAAATCTTTTTGCTTGTGCTTTTAGGAGTATCTGTTGTTTCTTGAAAAGAGTTATTTTTAAGGTATAAGGGGTAATGTTTCAGAGTATACTTTGGTGAGACCGAGATTCTTGTTTTAGCCAAAAAGCAGTTGGTTCTAGGTCAACTGATGAGGCGTGGTGAGTATGCCAAAAAGCACGTGGTTCTATATTGCGTGATGAGGCCTTTTGAGTGTTAGAGTCAAAAAGCATGCAGTTCTATGTCGTGTGATGAGACTTTCCAGAGTGAATATCCAAAAAGCTCGTGGTTTTATGTCACGGGATGAGGTTATAAATTTTTCTCTTGTCAACATGACAAAGTTATGCCAAAGAAAAATTAAACCCTTACACTTTGACAAATACTTTTGCAAGAGCATGTTTTCCGATCTAGCCATTAAAAAAAATTATTTGATCTTTAAAGTACACTTACAAATGTAGTTATCCCAAAGAAAGTTTGGAAAATTATGGTTGTTTAGGTCGGTGTAAAAATATTGATTTGACAAAATTCTTTTACATTTCTAACAATATGAGTGAAAATCTAAAGGTTCATTTATTCTTAACAAAAAGGTTGATGGCTATCTTATTTCTTCTTTCCTTCATAATATGTAGCTTAAACCTTGCCTCTGCAATTATTAATTTGCCTTCATACTTGTAACTATTCAATTTGTTGCTTGAGGGCAAGCAACGTTTAAGTGTGAGGAATTTGATAAGTCCATTTCGTTCTTATCATTTACATCATAGTCTAAATGTTATTGCACGTAATGATATCTAATCATCTCATAAAATGTGATTTTGATGGATAAAACTCTCATTTTCGTTCTAAGAGTCATAAATAGGGATTCCACATAAAATCATCATAAATTATCCATTTTATGTTCAAATGCTTGAGAAAAAGGGAATAAATCATCAAAGGATCAAGTTTCGGGCTTGAACGAGCTTCTAGGAAGATAAAATCGACGTTCGGGTCGAAAATCAGTGAAATTGGGCCAAGATCTCGTAACAGCCGCGAAGCCCAACGGACCAAGGCCTCAAGGCGTCCAACTTGGACGCTTGGCCAAGTTGGACGCTTGGAGTTGGACGCCTTGGCTGGATTACAGATCAAGGAAGACAGGTGGCAAGCAGCGGATGGACGGGCCGCGTAAGGTGTCCAACCTTGGACGCTTTGGATCCGGACGCTTTGACTTGGACGCCTCGGCCTTTGTCCTATAAATACAGCGCGTGACAGTCGTAGTTTTTCGGGTAGTAAACCTTCCCAACAAAGGGTCAGTTTTCTCTCCGAGTGTCGTATCTCTCGAGGAGTGGACGAAGGGAATTAGTTTAATTACTCTAATTAGGCGAAGATTAGGATTGGTTTATGAAAGTCTTCTCGGAACGACTACAAAAAGGGCAGAGTAAAAATAATAAATAAATTAAGTTTATATAGTATAAGTATAGATCTGGATCTGGGGTCAGGACATCATTTGGATCTATTTTATCATATTAAATTAACAATTGGAATAATAATATTTCTATTACTACTCATCCATTTCTAGATTTGTACTTAATCCGTTGTACTTGAATATCATAGCCTTTTGGCATACAATATTTTCTCAATAAATGACCAATTAAATATTCCGATATTAATTAACCAGATAAGGCAAGAACAATAGATTAACCATTCCAACATTAATTTAACATAAAAAAATAAACAACCAAACTAGTCCGGACCCAGAGATCCGGACCCTAACTCATACTATGCAAACATGAATTAAAACAGCATTTTATTAAATAGATTAAACTTACAACTTCCGTAAAGGCGGAACAGAATAGACCGGGAGTAGAATTCCTCCAGAAATTATTCTAAAACTACTAAAATGCTAAACTAATATTTAGAAATGGAATATTAAGCTCAAATCCCGAGAGAGGGGATGAAAGTGATGTGGTGTATGGGGAGAATCGCGCTGTATTTATAGGAACGAAGCCAAGGCGTCCAAGTCAAAGCGTCCAAGTCCAAGCGTCCAGATCGGGACGCTTGAGCTGCTCCGGCCAACCAGATTTTGCCACGTGTCTTTCTTGGATTGCAATCTAGCCCAGGCGTCCAACTTCAAGCGTCCAACTTGGCCAAGCGTCCAAGTTGGACGCCTGGAGGCCTTGGTCCGTTGGGCTTCGCGGCTGTTTCGTGATTTTGGCCCAATTTCGCTCCGTTTTGGCCCCGAACACTGTTTTTGACCTNTCCCGGAAGCTCGTTCAAGTCCGAATCTTGATCCCTTGATGATTTATTCCCTTTTTCTCAAATACTTGAACAAAAATGAATGATTTATGATGATTTCATGTGGAATCCCATTTTATGACTCTTAGAACGAAAATGAGGGTTTTATCCATTAAAATCACATTTTATGAGATGATTAAATACTATTTACGTGCAATAACGTTTAGAATATGATGTAAATGATAAGAACGAAACGGACTTATCAAATTCCTCACACTTAAACGTTGCTTGCCTTCAAGCAACAAATTGAATAAGTATAAGTATAAAGACAAATTATTAATTGCAGAGGGAAGGGTTAAGCTACATATTATGAAGGAAAGAAGGAATGAGAGAGTCGTCAACCTTTTTGTTAAGAATAAATGAACCTTTAGATTCTCACCCATGTTGTTAGAAATGTAAAAGAATTTTGTCAAACCAATATTTTTACACCAACCAAAATTTTCCAAACTTTCCTTGGGATAACTACATTTGTAAGAGTACTTTAAAGATCAAATAATTTTTTTTTTAATGGCTAAATTGGAAAACATGTTCTTGCAAAAATATTTGTCAAAGCATAAGGGTTTAATTTTCTTTGGCATAACTTTGTCATGTTGACACGAGAAAAATTTATAACCTCATCCCGTGACATAGAACCACGAGCTTTTTGGATATTCACTCTGGAAAGTCTCATCACACGACATAGAACCGCATGCTTTTTGACTCAAACACTCAAAAGGCCTCATCACGCAATATAGAACCACGTGCTTTTTGGCATACTCACCACGCCTCATCAATTGACATAGAACCAATTGCTTTTTGGCTAAAACAAAAATCTCGGTCTCACCAAAGTATGCTTTGAAACGTCACCCCTTATATCTTGAAAATAACTCTTTTTAGAAACAACAAATACTCAAAAGAGCATCAGCAAAAAGATTTTCAATAAAGCACTTAAAAATTAATTGATCAAAAAAAAACTCTTAATAAATTGTGAATTTATCCCAAATTATTTTAGAAAACATTCCCAAAAAGGCTAGAGTAGATATAGAAGTTTGACAAAAATTTAAAAATTTCCAATTTTTACGGGTGATAACTAAAGATTTCCTACAAATATATAGACAATACAATTCCTAAAGAGATCATTTCAACCAGGAACTCCTACCTCCTCACACTTAAACGGAACCACGCCCACGTGGCTAAAAGTATTTTGGCATTGGAGTTAATGGTTGAAATGAAATGCTCACATGCAATTACTAAGTTATCTCAATACTTATAAAATTCAAAGATGAAGACTGAAATAATAAATGACCATAACATGTAAATATGAAATAATGCATAAAACTTCTCAAAATGGGTTTAAGAGTCATAATGTGAAATTCCAAAATAAAATCATATAAATATCCAAAAATGATGTTCTGAATGCAGTATTAAGAAATTAGGGATCTCACTATCCCTGACATTTTCCTTGTTTCGGACCTGCCCCATGCTCAGCCTTCTTTGTTCCTTGTTCCCTGGTGTATTCAAGTATTTCCTCCACCTGCCATTGTTGCGTGAGGAGGAGTGTCTCCATGCTCCTTAAGCGAGAGTCTACAGAATCCTGGAATGCAAACATAGCCTGTGAAAGCTCGCGAAGGGTCATGGGAATTCTATGCTGCTTTCTGGGGCGTGCCTCCTTGTCCTCCTTATTATAAGCGATCTGGATTAAATACCTTGTCGATGGTCGGAATATGCTTGCAGCCTCTGGGAGAACATTAGGGACTGTCATACATAATCCTCGGGCTAGAAGCGTAACCATTGGCCCACACAAGACAAACTGGTGGTTGCTAGTCGACTGAGCAAATAGGAATCGGGCCACAAAAGTTGCTAAATTGACTGGTACGCGCGCTTCCAGACTCCAGAAAAATAGCATATCAGAATCAAACACTACATCGGAGTCACGAGAACGGCCCAAATAGCTGTGAGTCAATGCATGGTGTAAAATCCTCCAAGACGGACGCACCCAATTCCTGGCTATGCTTGCTCCACTGTGATATCGTCCATACCCGTGAGCTTGCCAGAACTTCCTCACATCGAACTCCGGATCCAACTGGTCGGGCAGATTAGCAAAGGCCAAGCTCCGCGTCTCGTCAAGTGTGTAAAGACCAATCAGCCACCCTAAGTCTACCACAGTAAGGCTCAGCAGTCGACCCATTAGTGTGAATGTGACCTTGGTGGTGGAGGTGACTTCAGCTGTTGACTTTACTTCCTCTCCGTCATTGTGGAAGCGGAGAGAGCAAAGAAACTCAATGGTGACTTCCAGGCTTGCTGGTGCTTGCAGGAACAGCAGGATCCTCCATTTTGGGTTGTACAGAAACTCATCGATGTCCTGCCAGTGCCCTAGTTCATCCAGATAGGCA